GTCGGGGCAGTACAGCAGATGAGACCACCCAGACTGAATGAGGTCAACAGGACTGACAGTACACGTAGGTGGATCAGTACATCGCATATTACTGTCCACTTAGCCTGCTCTCATCGCAGCTCAATCAAACACTCCATCTCTCATCTCACCCTGTTTTCTTATTCCTGCTTCCTCTCCCCGCTTGGTGATCAGTTATACAACTGGAAACACACACACACACGTTTCCAATCAACTGTGCTGATTATACGCAATAAAAAAGTTTCAGAGCTGATTAGTGCAAACTATTTATTCTAAGATGAAATATTACAAACACAGCAAGTAGATGCAAATGCTGTTTGCAAAATATGATATTATGCGACACCTGACAAAAGCTGAAATTTAATATTCCACCCTGAGAACTATTTTTTTAAGCTCATGTCTGAAATAGCTCGTAACTTTGACGGCAGCATCACACCGTCATCCTCACATTTTTTCACAGCTCTCTCACTTTGGAATGACGCTTATTAAACTTACAATATTTTTAATGACGCGTCAGTAACAGTTAAAATATTGGTTCAATGACTTGTGTATTTCATTAACCAACACTACACCACTAATTATGTCCCGTCTCTAGCTGACTCATCCCAGATAAACACGTCAATGCGGTGAAATTCGTCCTCCCTCCTGGTTAGGCTGAGCGTTTGAAGTTGCCACCCAAAAAAAAAAAGAAAAACAAGACGAGAAATCAGCGGAGAGCCTCGGTGACGAGACTCTCTGAATGGATGGGGTTGTTTTTTTGTCAATGGAAGGTGGGAGGTGAGAGAAATTAAATGGAAGACATCAAATAAGAAAAAAAGGGAAATGTCTGGGGTGGTGTTTACCAATGTGTTTTCCTTTTTTTTAGTCTCTTTGCCTCAGAATTCTGTGCTGCTGTTTCGGTTCCACGCTGGGAACGGGAGCAGTGTCTGTCAGAGATTAACACAACACAGAGGGAAGCGGGAAGAGACAGAGAGAGGCAGACAGACAGGGGAAGAGAGGAAGAAGGGAGGGAGGGGAGGGATAAAGGAAGACAGAGCGGATAAACACAAAAGTGATTTTTGAAAAGAGGGGAAGAAATCTTTAAAAGCGAATCACCACAGAGACACAGAGAGAATGAGGGGTGGCGGCGGCTGTGGTGATGGGGTTTATAAATAGAGGAGACAGAAAGCAGGGCCTCTCCCCTCACTGGATGCCACATTAATTATGTGTGTCTGCATCAGGAGAAATTAAGACATGGCCGTGTGGCAGTTTAGAGGGAGAAATTGAGGAAGGAGAGAACGGGGAGGAATGGCAGGCGCGGAGGGACGGAGAGCTAAGAGCAAATGTCAGTCAGAGATTTAAAACTGGACACCAAAGACGACGACGGGAGGCGGGAGTGAGGCACAAATGAGCGGAAACGGAGACGGCGGAGAGCAAGAAAAGGCTATTAGTGAAGGACCAAAACAGTGGCACAAAAGCAAGAAAAGCGCACTCATGCCTGCACCCAAACTCACTTTCAAAGGGAGACGAGAAGGAGAGAAACGCTAATTACAGAGAGGTGTGAAGAAGAAAAAAAAGCATACGGACCATTGAGTCAACATGTCATCAAATCAACAAAGCCCTACAAAGCTCAAAATGGCTGTCGAGCGGCGTGAGCGAGAAAAATATTTTTATGAATGCAAATAAATACGCTGCCAAACCCAAATCAAATGTTATTCACGTGAGTCCGTCTTCTGAACACCTTAAAATGCTTTCTGCAATCAGATGCTATTCAAAGATCAATCAACAGCAGAATCTTATGCTAATGAAATCAAATGATCCATATTCATGCTCAAGTGTGACACACACCTTAATAACCTGTTTCAGTCGCGCTGGCTGTGCTGCTAGGAGAGACGGAGAGGAGGATGGATCAAGGGCACCTAGCGTTTCTACCTCTCCGTTCTACATAGTGTCTTTTATTCCGCTGCTGCTCTCTCGTTAGAGCTCCTGCACTTCCTGTCACCTCTTCACCCCGGCTTTCTCTCACACAACTCTCTCCTGTTTCAGTGTCAGGCGTTGTCTATCATTACACTATCATTTGACTCTTTTTCCAGCTGGGTGCACACGTTTCAGAGCTGTCACTTGTTTTGTTCCTCCGTAAAAAGTCGGTGAAACAGGAGAATGAAACTAATTTTCTTTTGCTTAATGACTTGCCTTTTTCCTGTTTCTGGAAAAGTTTCAGCTCTCATGTGTGAATCTGTGTTGTCATTTATTTGAATGTGTCCATTTGTGAGCGTGCAACTTTTGTGTTCATATTAGCCCCTAACAGCAGGTCAGTGCTGCCAGCCAAGCAGCCCCCGCACTGGGCTCGGGACTCATTATGTGGCGCGGTCCTGCCTGCTAACTCCCACCTACCTGTGAAAAAACTTGCTGACACCACCGATGACTGGCAAGGGAGAAAATGTGTGAGAAAAGTGTGTGCATCAGAGCGTGTGCGGACGGGAGAGGTTATGCGCGCGATAACAAAAGCTTAATTTAATCTGCGCACATATCAGAAAAAGAAAGTCTTATAAATCTGATTAATTATACATTTGTGCGTCTGTGTGCATCTGTAAAAAATAATAAACACATCAACCTGTCAGCGCCAGAGAACCTCTGCACTGCGCTGACTCATGGCAGGGGGTCTGCATCCCTGTCAATCAAAACCCCCTGTTGCTTGCATCAATTATTTCACAGCCGAGGCTCTCTCCATCCAACTCCTGGCTCGCCACACACACATACAACCATACACACTCCAACACGAGTCCACCTCCAACGCCGGCCAAGGCTACATTTCCATGACAATTAAACACCAGAGGACAGTGGAGTCAGCCACCCTACGCAAAAAAAAGCCCTTTAAAATGGCGATAGGATTGGAGAGGTGGAGTTAGAGAGAGCAAAAGAGAGGGGAGTGTGCGGCCTGGATAAGTGGTAGCAGGATTATAGCTGGTTCCATCATGGCTTTGGTCCGTTCACTGCTTCTTATAAAAACCTATTAGCATGTGAATGAACAGGCACACAGTGGAGTTTTCTAAAGCCCAGGAGCACTGATCCACTATCAGGTGAGCTTTCCATAAACTGGGAGGAAGCGGGGGAGGATGGTGTGTGTCTGCATGTGTGGTTTTTTTGGGGGGGTTAGTCCACTTGACCGTGGCCACTTTGGTCTGGATTTTTTGCGGAGATTTCAAGGCACTCCAGGTACAAGTACAGTCCTTTAAATCACTTGGGAGTAAACAATTAAATCAGCCTATTAAAGTTTGTCGCCCAATCTTTGCGCCACTTGTTTCTGAGGTCAAGCATCAAATCAAAAGTCAAACTGTCAAAGGTAAAACATGAATTTTGTTTCAAGTAGATTTAAAATGTGCATGTCTGTTGTAGATGTTTTTTGGAGTCCAAACACGAGACATCCTGTCCTGTTTTGTAGGACAGGCATTTATCAGCTTTTTGCTTTTGTCTGAGCCTTTTCAGTCACTTCTTAATGTATGAGGTAAGGTAAGGTAAACTTTATGGTCCCCTAAGGGAAATTCATCTTGGGCACAGTGCTACATTTCATTGCTTCACAGGACAAGATAAAAACATCATCACAGGGACACATCATCACAATGACAGTCCCATCACATAAAACAGACATGGACTACATTTAACAATCACAACACAGAAACATACAGAGACGTCTAAAGTGCAAGAAAAAATGCTGTGTGCTAAAGTGCTGTGTGTTTAATGCACGTTGCTTGTTGCTCCATTGCACTAGTTTTTAACATTGTTCAACAGCTTAATGGAGGCTGGAACAAATGACAATTTGAGATATGATATGATATGATATACACTCACTTGCCACCTTATTAGGTACACCTGTTCAACTGCTTAGCACAAATAGCTAATCAGCCAATCACGTGGCAGCAACTCAGTGCATTTAGGCATGTAGACATGGTCAAAACCTGATGAAGTTTAAACTGGGCATCAGAATGGTGACATGTCATGGTTGTTGGTGCCAGAAACTGCTGATCTACTGTGATTTTCACACACAACCATCTCTAGGGTTTACAGAGGATGGTCTGAAAAAGAGGAAATATCCAGTGAGCAGCAGTTCTCTGGGTGAAAATGTCTTGTTGATGCCAGAGGTCAGAGGAGAATGGCCAGACTGGTTCAAGATGATAGAAAGGCAACAGGAACTCAAATAACCACTGGTTACAACCAAGGTCTGCAGAAGACCATCTCTGAACCAACAACACGTCCAACCTTGAAGCAGATGGGCTACAGCAGCAGAAGACCACACCAGGTGCACACTGTGTGATGCCATCATGTCAATATGGACCAAAATCTCTGAGGAATGTTTCCAGCACCTTGTTGAATCTATGCCACAAAGAATTAAGGCAAAAGGGGTCCAACCTGGTACTAGCAAGGTGTACCTAATAAAGTGGCCGGTAAGTGTAGACTGTTGAATGTGTTTAGAATTACTGTATCGTGTGATTACTGAATACTTCACTACTGCTACATGAGTTATGATACTGTCAACTAAATAGACTGTTTGCTTAATTTAAAGACAAATTGCCTGGAAAATGCATCCAATGTTAACATCAAACGTGGGTACTATGCCTTATATCTGTCCTACTTTTTTTCCCAAATCAACAAAATCAAATTAAAAAAGTTTTAAAATTTGTTGCTCAAATAAAATGGGCTTGAATCAATGTGGCAATCGCACAAAACCAAAGCCAGAACGCCTGATGGAAACTTGTTTCCCAGCCAAAGTAGCTTCTATGCTTATCAGTTAAAGTATAATAGACATTATTCTTCTCACATCTCTGAACCGAAATGATCTTGTGCTCAAAGCAGACTAAACTTGGATTGCGGGTGTGAAAACAAAAAATGCAGCAGTGTGGGTGCCAAAATAGCAGAACTACAAGAGTTAGCAACATGGAGACTGGGCATTCAAACACTGGGAGAGGATGAAAACCGGGGCCAGAGTGCCCCACTATACTGCTTACCTCCCTCTGCAGCACCAGCTCTTTGGTGAACAGCATGGCCTCGTCACTGAAGGGCTCGGCCACCTGCATCCCCCCGGGCATATTCCTGGAACTGCGTGGACATTCAATACCTGGCCGAAGACAACACAATTGCAGGATTAAAGGTCAGCACAGCAGCTAATCAAAACAGCAAGATGTCCTGGATAGTTTTAACAATATTTGGCCTTGATAAGCCTGAAAAAGGCCACAGACAAACTGGATTTATTTATCGACATAAAGCAGAAATACTGTGGGCATTAATATAAATATCCGTAAGTCAGTGACAAGACTCGTATCCACAATTTTCAAGACCTCTGGTGCTCCAAACAGCCAATGCCACATGAAGCATCCGTCTCATCCCTCTTAATAGTTCAAGGTCAAAATCGCTTAGCAGCACTATTTCACAAAGGTACGTCCGTGGCAAAACACAGATTAACCAGCTACACTATTATCAGCACTCACTGGATAATTGGTCATCAAGGGGTCAATCCTGAGTGCACAGAGTGCGTCTGTATAAGCAGTTTCGCCTGAAAAACAGCCTCGTCGGATTTGTGTCTTTGGGACCCTTCGACGTCAACTCTGCGAGATTTTCAGAGGCTTTCTTGTAGCTTCAGGGCAGAGGTGGGGGGGTGAGTGGGTATAAAGGCGCTGCGAGACCGAATCATTTCATGTTCGCCCTGTTTAAAAAAATTAACTGTGATAAAAGCAGGCGTATGCAAGAAAGGTACATGCATAAGAGAGAAAGTGTGTGTTTGAAGATGAGTGTGACTGGGCTGTAAGAACGAAGAGAGAATGTGTGTTGATCTTACAGAAAATTTAAAGTCTTTACACATACTATGGATTTTGCATGTATCAGAGCTTCAATTGAGACTCAGTTCTTTTGTCCGTTATACCCCCAAGGACTTGATATACTGTATGTTAATGCAACATGTGCTAAAAGGTAGACACTCAGACATGAAAGGCGTGTAGAAGTGGAATTATTGCCTAGCGGGTGGAACCATTCAAGTTGCAGTTTGCATTCATGTCTGTCCAGACTCGAATGTAGACACTGCTTCAAATACGGACGTCACTGCAAAGAAGGTACTAACTATGAAACGTAGATGCTTCACACATCTTCAACCGGGCAACGCAGAAAGTCTTAACAATCACCACAGTTTCAAGGTGAGCACTAGAGGTCAACAAATAGTGGACTTTTAAAGGCTGATTTAATAATGACAGTTTGGACGAGAAAAAGCCTATAGCAACTGATCAGCCAATAATAATAAATAAATCTGGAACTAAACAGTGAACTAACTGTAATAAAATCTAAGTGGAAGGGTTTTTTAAGCTATTACTTTTCGTCAAACTCACACTCATTCTCAGGTACATAATGGCATCATCTCCAAAAATTATGGTGATCAGAAATGGGCAGTATTTCTGTTACTTGTTTTTTAGATACACATTTCAGTTACTTCTGAGTATTTTGTAATTGGAAAAAAAAAATCAAAAACAAGATACTACTAAACTTAAATTACTAGCCCGGGCTACTATTTGCTTAAATCACTAAAATCAATGGGCCAATATTTGGGACAGGCCTTTAATTGCTTTCACATAAAACTGTTGCTCAGCAGAGATCAGGAAATACAATTAAATTGTTTAATTACACCTGTATGGATATTACTTGTATAAAAATTAGGCTTTAGATTATACTGAATATCAATTATAAATCATTCAACTGTTCGAGCTCCGACAACTTGGATTAATTTTTATGAAAAACCCTTTGGACTCCTTTGATCTGAGGACCCTCACAGACTAAAGGAATATGAATGACTTACAGGGTAATTGCGGTATGGACACATAATTTGAGGTAGCCAACGATACATCCAAAGTACTTATATTAAAAGAATGAACTGCTTGGTGATCAGACAGGCATTTATTTGGGACAAATTTTTTTATTGACGTTTTACGGTACTTCAGAGTGAAGTAAGTTTGTATTTTTGAAATACTCCGAATACTCTGTGTTCATTTCTCGTTTGTGCCAAATGTAATGAAATTTCCTACAGGTAATCTTGAGATATCGCGTTCACAAGAATGACAGATGTGAGGTCACAGAGACTTTGACTTTTGACCACCAAAATCTAATGTTGACGTTTGTGCCAAAATTGAAGAAACTCCCTGAGATATCCTTCTTATAAGAATGAGACACACAGCCGGAAAACATAACGCCTCAAGCCTCATCTGTCCAGACATAAAAATGTCAAACTTTGAAACATCTTAACAGTAGCTATACGTTAATCCGGTAATTCTGTTCTCTTTAAATTCTCAAATAAATTATTGCACAAGCAAGCAGGTTGGTGCCGAATTGATTTATGTGGAGTAACTTAATGACAGTTTCAGTTGGACATAAAACCCTCGAGCATCGTACTAATAAAGCAACAGCTTTCTCCCATGGTTTGTCTTTCCTCTCTGACTCCATGTTGAATTTAATGAGCTTCCTTGGCATGACGGAGATATGTGTAAACAGCCTCGGGGTGGACTCCTGAGGTAGCATATGCAGCGAAGTAAAATCAGATGCGTTAGGGCCATCCGCTCATCTCAGTGGTCACCTTGGAATGAGACAATCCTGGCTTTGAAAATTACTTCATTTCCATGTAAGCTTGATATGTTCTCCACATGTTCCCCTGGGTTTCCTTTGACTGGTTATATATTCATATAGAGAGTGTTTCTGAGATTTTTCGCTTGAGAGAATGCTGCTGAGCTCTTGCTTCAACGTTACACAGTGACAGGAAAAAAGGGTCTGAAATAGATGTGTGTGCTTAACAAAGGACTGGTTAAAGTGTTGCGGAGATTGGGGGATGACATTACATTCTGTACAAAGAACCTTATTATTGTTTTCCCCAAATATGAATACACATTTTTCACTGGTACTTGCATCTTAAAACCTGTGAATTCCACAGTGCTTAACAGTGACATTAATCTGGGACACTGTGTACCAGGTGTGTCTAAACCTTGGCTGCTGTTCTCTCTGTAAATGCTAGCAGAAAAAATCTCTTAAGATCTGTTACACAAGCTGGATTTGTATTGCTACTATTATTCCTTTTTTTTTATCTAACTGAATTCTAAATGCAAAAAAACTTGTTTGGATTGTATCCCAAACAAGTGAGCTAACCTAAACCACCAAATATCCATTTCCTAGCTGATTTCAAAACTAGATAAAAAAAGAACCTTTGAGCTTTTGTTTTGTTTTGCACTTTCTGTTCCCTACAGAAACCTCTACCCATGTCTGCCCCATTTATGAGAACAAGAACAAGAGACTTGAGCGTATTCACACTGGCAGTGAAGGACGAAAATGACCCAGGAAAGGCTAAATGAGGCCACAGGACAGTCAGCACCAAAGAGTGAGGAAGAACTGTTGAGTCAACCTTTTGTAAGACATAAATGTCTTCAGTGTACAGCAGGGAGCATTAAAACCATTTAGACATGCTAATTTTAGTTTTGTTCTAATCTGTTTGCATCTTTTCGCTCTGGCTGTAAGATTCTAAAAAACTGATGAAAGGATTTCTTGTGCTTTAGATGACAAGGAGCTATAAAAAAGGATTCATACATAAATAAAGGGTAAACATGAACGCCTGAGAAATGTACCTAAATAACCTACAAGCATGTACAGACAATCTCACCGTTAACCTTAGTCTATCCTCCACATATAAGGTTATGTATGAATATTTTTTATTGTAGTTATTCTTCAATTCAAAACACGTTATTTGACCCCTGGAGGGCAATTTGCAAATCTTATTAGGTATATTCACACATTCAATGCCTACAATACACCAGACAGAAGACTGTGAAAAGACTTAAGTCCAACACCCTCTCTCATCTAAAGACAATGTGAGTTTTTCAAAGTATTTTTTACAAAGATGAAGATTTCTCACTAAAATATGACCCTTGTTTACTCCACAACTCCACCAGCTTCTCCTCCTTTACCATTAGAAATAAGACTCATTCATGTTCTTGCGCCTCCCTGGCTTTGTTGCTTCCTTTTTGGTGCTTGAGAGAGCGCAGCAGTTTTACATTATAAACTTCCCAAGACTAAAAACTTACAATAATACTGAACATGTCTGATTTTGTAGGGACGTCAAGGCAAGAAAAAGACTAAGGGTGTTTTCACATTTGGTCCTTTCCAGCCCTCTTAACGGACTCAGAGCGGTGACCCAGCATTTTTTTTGTGCGTATGTGAACACTCCGAGAGAACTCCGATCCGCAGTGCAGTTCGCTTAACCTGTGCCTTGTGAACACCAAGCGCTCCTGGTTCGCTTCGCTCTTTGCCGTTGAATTTAGCCCTCTAAATCACATATTAGTGCACTGGGATACCTGAAAAAACAGATGAAACCATGTCAGCCTATAACGCTTGCAAGGACGCAGGACAGGTTTGGTCCACGGAAGATACTGCACGTCAGATGTGGAATGTAGAATTCATCACATGGCAACAGAAACTCTAAAGAACTTGGTCCTTTTTCTGTTGGTCCACTTTTTGGTGCACTTTAATAGGACTGAGTTCGGTTTGTTTAATAAAAGAATACATGTGAAATCACACATATGAGTGTTATGACCACCTTACACCAAACAATCAAGATCACAGGAGCGTGCATCAACTGCGGTAAAACTGTCATTATTTCATCCAACACTGGAAATTTGTCTGCAACAGTGAAATCCCTTGAAAAGTCCTTTGGTGTACGGCTGGCTTAGTAAAACACAATGATTAAAAAAAAGCTTCCTGAAGGCTGCGAGGAGGAAGAGGAGGAGGAGGAGGAGGAGGAGGAGGAGACACTGATGGCCAAGATCATCTGAGGGTATTTATAGAAGTGGACCAGGACAGGGATTCCACGTGGGACACTGGCTACAACAGCGCCAGGATAAAGAGAAGAGGAGAGAAGAAGGATGCAGGATAAAGGAGAAGGAAAGACAATGGGAGGATAAATACTGCACACTCCTTAAAAAAACTGGTGTGTGAAGTAATTTGCAAGGAGGGAGATGGGTTGGCCGCGCTGCTTGAGTTGGCTGGAGCTCTGATAAAAAACTGTGGGACTGTGTTTTTCAAACATAATCCACAGAAAAG